CAGAATAGTGAGAATAGGGAGGCTAGCAGAATAGTGAGAATAGGGAGGCTAGCAGAATAGTGAGAATAGGGAGGCTAGCAGAATAGTGAGAATAAGGAGGCTAGCAGAATAGTGAGAATAGGGATAGCAGAATAGTGAGAATAGGGAGGATAGCAGAATAGTGAGAATAGGGAGGATAGCAGAATAGTGAGAATAGGGAGGATAGCAGAATAGTGAGAATAGGGAAGATAGCAGAATAGTGAGAATAGGGAGGTTAGCAGTATAGTGAGAATAGGGAGGTTAGCAGAATAAGAATAGGGAGACTAGCAGAATAGTGAGAATAGGAAGGCTAGCAGAATATTGAGAATAGGGAGGCTAGCAGAATATTGAGAATAGGGAGGCTAGCAGAATAGTGAGAATAGGGAGGTTAGCAGAATATTGAGAATAGGGAGGCTAGCAGAATATTGAGAATAGGGAGGCTAGCAGAATATTGAGAATAGGGAGGTTAGCAGAATAGTGAGGATAGGGAGGCTAGCAGAATATTGAGAATAAAGAGGCTAGCAGAATATTGAGAATAGGGAGGCTAGTAGAATAGTGAGAATAGGGAGGCTAGCAGAATATTGAGAATAGGGAGGCTAGTAGAATAGCGAAAAAAGAGATGCGCTAGCAGAATATTGATAATAGGGAGGCTAGCAGAATAGTGAGAATAGGGAGGTTAGTAGAATAGTGAAAATAGGGAGGCTAACAGAATAGTGAGAATAGGAAGGCTAGCAGAATAGTGAGAAAAGGGAGGCTAGCAGAATAGTGAGAATAGGGAGGCTAGCAGAATAGTGAGAACAGGGAGGCTAGCAGAATAGTGACAATAGGGAGACTAGCAGAATAGTGAGAATAGGAAGACTAGCAGAATAGTGAGAATAGGGAGGCTAGCAGAATATTGAGAATAGGAAGGCTAGTTGAATATTGAGAATAGGAAGGCTAGCAGAATATTGAGAACAGGGAGGCTAGGAGAATAGTGAGAATAGGAAGGCTAGCAGAATAGTGAGAATAGGGAGGTTAGCAGAATACTGAGAATAGGAAAGGTAGCAGAATATTGAGAATAGGGAGGCCAGCAGAATAGTGAGAATAGGAAGGCTAGCAGAATATTGAGAATGGGGAGGCTAGCAGAATAGTGAGAATCTGAAGGCTAGCAGAATATTGAGAATAGGGAGACAAGCAGAATAGTGATAATAGGGAGGCTAGCAGAATAGAATAGGAAGGCTAGCAGAATATTGAGAATAGGGAGGTTAGCAGAATAGTGAGAATAGGGAGTTAGCCGAATATTGAGAATAGTGAGACTAGGAGAATAGGGAGGCTAGCAGAATATAAGAGTAGGGAGGCTCGCAGAATATTGAGAATAGGAAGGCTAGCAGAGTAGGGAGAATTGGGAGGCTAGCAGAATAGTGAGAATAGGGAGGCTAGCAGAATAGTGAGAATAGGGAGGCTAGCAGAATAGTGAGAATAGGGAGGCTAGCAGAATAGTGAGAATAGGGAGGCTAGCAGAATAGTGAGAATAGGGAGGTTAGCAGAATACTGAGAATAGGAAAGGTAGCAGAATATTGAGAATAGGGAGGCCAGCAGAATAGTGAGAATAGGAAGGCTAGCAGAATATTGAGAATGTCGAGGCTAGCAGAATAGTGAGAATCTGAAGGCTAGCAGAATATTGAGAATAGGGAGGCTAGCAGAATAGAATAGGAAGGCTAGCAGAATATTGAGAATAGGGAGGTTAGCAGAATTGTGAGAATAGGGAGTTAGCCGAATATTGAGAATAGTGAGACTAGGAGAGTAGGGAGGCTAGCAGAATATAAGAGTAGGGAGGCTCGCAGAATATTGAGAATAGGAAGGCTAGCAGAGTAGTGAGAATAGGGAGGCTAGCAGAATAGTGAGAATAGGGAGGCTAGCAGAATATTGAAAATAGGAAGGCTAACAGAATAGTGAGAATAGGGAGGCTAGCAGAATAGTGAGAATAGGGAGGCTAGCAGAATATTGAAAATAGGGAGGCTAGCAGAATATTGAAAATAGGGAGGCTAGCAGAATATTGAGAATAGGGAGGCTAGCAGAATATTAAAAATAGGAAGGCTAGCAGAATAGAGAAAATATGGAGACTAGCAGAATTATGAGAATAGAGAGGTTAGGTTAATAGTAAAACTGACTATGGAACGATAAATAGAGGCAGTGAATATCAATTTAAGAATGACTTAGCAGCAAAGGCTAAACCAGACATATGAGGAGGAAGATAACTGTGAGAGATTTAGTAAAGCTGATGAGAGAGAAGGAACATAATTCACAGAAGACGATGAAAAAATTTGCGATGAATTAAACAGAAGATTTACGGAAGTATTGAGTAAAGAAACAAGGTTGGTGCCAGAGTGCAAAGTTGAAAAGGTAATCAGCGGATATTGGAGAGAACTCAAGTAGGAAGTAATGACTACACAATCCATGAGACCTGACGGCACATCGCCATGGATGGGACCTGACGGCACATCGCCATGGATGGGACCTGACGGCACATCGCCATGGATGGGACCTGACGGCACATCGCCATGGATGGGACCTGACGGCACATCGCCATGGATGGGACCTGACGGCACATCGCCATGGATGGGACCTGACGGCACATCGCCATGGATGGGACCTGACGGCACATCGCCATGGATGGGGCCTGACGGCACATCGCCATGGATGGGGGCCTGACGGCACATCGCCATGGATGGGACCTGACGGCACATCGCCATGGATGGGACCTGACGGCACATCGCCATGGATGGGACCTGACGGCACATCGCCATGGATGGGGGCCTGACGGCGCATCGCCATGGATGGGACCTGACGGCACATCGCCATGGATGGGGGCCTGACGGCGCATCGCCATGGATGGGACCTGACGGCACATCGCCATGGATGGGACCTGACGGCACATCGCCATGGATGGGACCTGACGGCACATCGCAATGGATGGGACCTGACGGCACATCGCCATGGATGGGACCTGACGGCACATCGCCATGGATGGGACCTGACGGCACATCGCCATGGATGGGACCTGACGGCACATCGCCATGGATGGGACCTGACGGCACATCGCCATGGATGGGACCTGACGGCACATCGCCATGGATGGGACCTGACGGCACATCGCCATGGATGGGACCTGACGGCACATTGCCATGGATGGGACCTGACGGCACATCGCCATGGATGGGACCTGACGGCACATCGCCATGGATGGGACCTGACGGCACATCGCCATGGATGGGACCTGACGGCACATCGCCATGGATGGGGGCCTGACGACACATCACCATGGATGGGACCTGACGGCACATCGCCATGGATGGGACCTGACGGCACATCGCCATGGATGGGACCTGACGGCACATCGCCATGGATGGGGGCCTGACGGCACATCGCCATGGATGGGACCTGACGGCACATCGCCATGGATGGGACCTGACGGCACATCGCCATGGATGGGACCTGACGGCACATCGCCATGGATGGGACCTGACGGCACATCGCCATGGATGGGACCTGACGGCACATCGCCATGGATGGGGGCCTGACGACACATCACCATGGATGGGACCTGACGGCACATCGCCATGGATGGGACCTGACGGCACATCGTCATGGATGGGACCTGACGGCACATCGCCATGGATGGGACCTGACGGCACATCGCCATGGATACCGAAGATAAGGAAAACTTCGTGAACCTGGAGCTATAACACACATGTCCCTGGAGAGAGGAAACATCACACAACTGGGAAATTGCAACCATGATCCTAGTATACAAGTCGAGGTGACAGACAAAGGGCACTGAATTATAGACCTGTAACATTGACATGTATACTGCCCAAAGAATTATAAAAAAAAGATAATCAGGAAAAGAGTGGTTGCACATCTAGAGAGATGTTTTATTTTTATGGAAAACTAACATGGGTTTAGGGAGGGTAAGTCTTGCCTCACTAACTTACTCCAGTTGTACGACAGAATAACGAAGATCAGAGACGAAAAACTATATTGGGTTGACTGACTCACGAAATCGTAATGACACGATTGCAAAGAAACCATTCCACGGGTGGGGATAGAACCCACGATAAGAAAGTATCAAAACTCCAGACCGTCGCGTTAGTCACTGGACCAGCTGTGGCTAGCTGGTCCAGTGACTAACGTGACGGTCTGGAGTTTTGAGACACTCTGATCGCGAGTTCTATCCCCACCCGTGGTATGGTTTGGGATGAGTGTTTTTTCTTGGACTGGATAAAAGCATTTGAAACTGTACTCCACCGGAGACTAATTCACAAATTAGAGCATGAAGGGATACGAGGTAAAGTCCTTCGCCGGGTCAAGAAATACTTGAGGAACAGAAGTCAGAGGGTGATGATATATATTAGGTCAATCATGGCGTATACAGTACCAGAATGTAGCCTTCATCTGCTCAAACCATATAAAAAACTAGAAGAGATTCGAAGGTTTGTAGCAAGACTAGTCAGAGAGCTGAGGGGATTGAGTAAAGAGAGACACTAAAGAAACTTTATCTGACTGCTTTAGAAGAAAGGAGGACTAGGAGAGACTTGATTACGACATGCAAGATACTCAGAGGCTTTGACAAAGCAGGCAATAAGAGGCGTAGAAGCAAGAGGTCATAGACGAACCACAGGGACGACAGGAAACACCTTACAATTTGAAGGTGGTAAATAAATGGAATGAGCTACACGTTGAAGTTGTAAACTCAATACGAAGTTTCAACAGTAGGTATGATGTAGCCCATGGGGCCAAGAACCAACACTGCCAACGATTGTGGTTTAAGAGCTGAGACTCAACCCCCTTCTTAAACACAACTTTCTAAGTACACATATACATTCACTCTCTCTCCCTCCCTACTTCGTCTTCTATGTTATGGTCTCAACGTAGGTTCTTCTACCCGATAAGTTTTTCAGTATCTCTGTTAACATGTGTTAAGACATACATTGTGTTAGCAGACGTTCCTGTGGCATCCCTGCACCCAGGACGGTCACTCAACCTCAGCAACATAGAAGAGGGTGACGATGTGTACTTCGAGTGCTCCATCAAGGCCAATCCCTGGGTCTACAAGATTGTCTGGCTTCACGAGGTAAGGCTCACTAGACGACAATAGCAGGGTCATTGAATTTAAAACTTTGGGTAGCTTCTAATTTAGGTTAGATAAATACATGAGAGGGGTTGGATCTGAGTGGGACTTGTCATGAATTATTAGGCTTGTCATCTTCGATGATAAGCCCGTGGGATAGATCGCGGGTTCTATCCCCGCCCGTGGTATGATTTGATAAGCCCGTAGCTGGGCAAGTGAGTTAATTAATAATCCAAAGATAATCGTCTTTCTCAAAGGCTGGGTACCGCTGCGGTCCACATGATTGACTCAGCTTGTCATGGCATCACACACACTAATGAATTTACTGTACCATATTGTCCATTATCTTGTCTTGTCACGCTCTAGCATTTTAACAAATCAATTGTTAGGAAATTGCAATGTGCTGATAGTAGAGGACATTGCCTCTCACACTTCCAAAGTAATAGAAACAACATTATGCATTGACGATCACACCTCTACAGCATCAGGAGGTACGAGGTTAATTCTCATAGCTCTACAGGGCCTGGAGCTACAATATTAACTCTCATACCTGTACAGCACCTGGAATAACATCAACATTCATACATGTACAGGACCAGAAACTGTAATATCAATTCTCGAATCTCTACTGGCCAGACGTTATACCACGCATTAACTTTCACTCTTCTACAGCACCAGAAGCAACATCATTAACTCTCATTCATCTATAGGGCCAGGAGCTACAACACAACGTGACTGCTGGAGTCATCATAAGCAACCAGAGCCTGGTGTTGCAGCGGGTGGGCAAGTCAGCCTCTGGCCGCTACTACTGCGTAGCTTCCAATATTGAGGGTGATGGTCAGTCCAACCACATCAAACTCAAGGTCAAATGTGAGTTAAAATGTTCCTAGTAATACATCATATTTTAACACATCTCCTATTTTCCACCTCGGTAGTGACACAGAGAGGGAACCAGTCACCCTCACTCACTCCCCCGCTGCCTTGACTCAGTTTGTAAATTCTATAACCTGATCATACGCAAAATTGCTGGTGACATCACACTTCTGGTAACATCACACTGCTGGTAACATCACACTTCTGGTAACATCACACTGCTGGTAACATCACAAGACAAGACAGTTTAGGCAAGACCCCATGTGGGGTGAGCTGGGAAGATTGGACAGGCGAAGAATAGCGTTGGAGAGGAGTGTCCACAGTCGAGGATAAAGTGCCAGGGCTTAACCCAGCAGATAGGAACTCGTAGGACTCACTGGAGAAATCAGGAAGAGTAGGCTCAGTTACTACGGTTTTGTGGAGGCTGGAGGTCTACCTTCTTAATAATATCGTTTTTTTTTTTGTACAAGTACATGTACAAGGTATACAGGGCTAGCTGACATCAAAGACATACTACTGTATAGAAAGCTGCTTGTATGCAGAGCATTTCGGGCAAATTAGGTCAGTTTTGTCCCGGGATGAGACCCACACTAGTCGACTAACTCCCAGGTACCTATTTTACTGGTATGTGAACATACACAGTTGGTGTAAAGGAACATGCCCAATGTTTCTACCCTCGCTGGAAATCGAACCCAGACACTCGTCGTGTGAAGCAAGAGCTCTAGCCACCAGGCCACGGGGCACCGTGGCCTGATGCCACGTTAGGCAGCAGGTTAGGTCGCAGGACAGAGCAGGCAGGTAGGAATATCAGAGCGCAGCATACTGGTGGTGTTATTTGATGTGATTAAGGTGGCAGGTTTGTAGAAGAGCCATTTTCAAATTTCTTGAAGCTGCTCCTAGAGAGGTGGTAAAGTTTTCTCTTGTTTCCAAAGGTGAATCGTAGAGGCTTGAGGAATTCTCGAACTTGGGTGAGTGTAAAGTGATGAGCTTGTTCGCGGGAAAACTTGACAGTTTCTGTACCGAGGCCTTTGTAGAGTCCAGTGCAGGTCATGGTGCCAGCTTTTGATGGAGCAGTGTAGAAGGTAATGCTGTCTCATGTTGTTGTGCTACAATCCTCAATATCATCTTATTCTGACGTGGATTCAGTAGACGAGTCTACCATGGTGCTAGCAGGTGACTAAGGGTGGACAGAGCAGAGGAAAAGTGTACTGGTGGCGTAACATCAGGTTGGGGGGGGCGGTGGTGGCGGTGGGTAAGGCAGCATGAGCGGTGGTGTCGGAGGTTGTGAAAGGTGCAGGAACAGTTGCTTGGGCAGTAGGAGGCAGGTCAGCAGGTATATTGAAGTTAAGACGTTAAGAAGAATAGTGAGGATGTCAGATGAAGGTGTGGAGTCAGGGGAAAACGAAGGCAGGCAAGTTAAGTTAGAATATTTCATTGGTGGTGGTGTTGAATGAGCCTGGGTTGGCTGCATTAACAATGTGCGCATACACCATACAATACACCACCTTGGAGGGAGCCGTGTCCGGAAGTGGAGAGAGAATTTTCTTGGTATCAGACTGTAGTTTTGTTTTGGCGATATATGTCGGAGATTTGGGGTTGCTTTTCTAAGCTTCTTTGATTTTCTTAGACATCAATTTCTTCCGTAGTGAGCACTTGGCTGCAAGGGTATGATGAGTGCCCTTGCAGATGAGGCAGGTTGGAGTGGCATTGGTGGTGGAACAGGCTTTTGAAATCGTGATCTTTTTTGCAGTTGGAACAGAATTTCTTGTATTTAATGAGACAGTCGGTCGTTGAGTGATGGTAAGAATAACAGTTCCAGCAGGGTGAGACATGAGCGATACGTTCTGGTCTGTGTGTCGTGCATGAATATGGTATAAGATGGCTAGGCGGCTAGGCCACCAGCAAGCGCTTTGGTAGCCATATCGATGTTGGAAAAGGTGAGTTTGATCATTGAAGAAGCGTTTGGAATTTTGGTGATGCTGTCAATCGAGTCCCAAGTGTTTTGTTCCTCGATAGAGGTCTTCAGGTCAGCAGTTGATAGGGATGTGATGATCTTGTCCAACCGTCTGGCAAAAACAGAACGATTCGCCAACAGGAAAGGTGAAGGAGATACGCTGAATTGTTGGTCACCGACTGTCTTCACTGCGGTGTCGTCCGTGAGTTTTGATGCTCCATTGTTGTCAGTACAGACGACAATAGAGGAGTCCTTCAGAGAGTAGATTGCTGCGAATTTGACCTGCAAGTAGGTCCTTACAGCGGCAGCAAGGAATAGTTTGGTGGTGTCATTTATGACTCCACTGGCTGGTTTAATCTTTACACGATACAAAAGCATCGTGAAGGAGTAAAGGCGATGGTGTGTAGGTTACAAATTCCCCTCCCCGACGGGGATCGAAAGGATACTTCTTGAGGTAGAGCGACTGTGACTTGTCAGTAGCAAGGTCCGCAGTGGAATCTGCTGGTAACATCATGCTGGTGGTAACGTCACACTGGTGATAACGTCACACTGGTGATAACGTCACACTGGTGGTAACGTCACACTAGTGATAACGTCACACTGGTGTTAACATCACACTTGTGGTAACATCACACTGGTGGCAATGTCACACTGGTGGTAACATCACACTGGTGGCAATGTCACACTGGTGTTAACATCACACTGGTGGCAATGTCACACTGGTGGTAACGTCACACTGGTGATAACGTCACACTGGTGATAACGTCACACTGGTGGTAACGTCACACTGGTGGTAACGCCACACTAGTGATAACGTCACACTGGTGGTAACATCACACTGGTGGTAACATCACACTGGTGGTAACATCACACTGGTGGTAACGTCACACTGGTGGTAACATCACACTGGTGGTAACATCACACTGGTGGTAACATCACACTGGTGTTAACATCACACTGGTGGTAACATCACACTGGTGGTAACATCACACTGGTGAAAACGTCACACTGGTGAAAACGTCACACTGGTGGTAACGTCACACTTGTGGTAACATCACACTGGTGATAACGTCACACTGGTGATAACGTCACACTGGTGGTAACGTCACACTGGTAGTAACATCACACTGGTGGTAACGTCACACTGGTGGTAACATCACACTGGTGGTAACGTCACACTGGTGGTAACGTCACACTGGTGGTAACGTCACACTGGCGATAACGTCACACTGGCGATAACGTCACAGTGGTGGTAACGTCATACTGGTGGTAACGTCACACTGGTGGTAACGTCACACTGGTGGTAACGTCACACTGGCGATAACGTCACACTGGTGGTAACGTCACACTGGCGATAACGTCACACTGGCGATAACGTCACACTGGCGGTAACGTCACACTGGCGGTAACGTCACACTTGTGGTAACGTCACACTTGTGGTAACGTCACACTGTTGGTAACGCCACACTGGTGGTAACGTCACACTGGTGGTAACGTCACACTGGTGGTAACGTCACACTGGTGGTAACGTCACACTGGTGGTAACGTCACACTGGTGGTAACGTCACACTGGTGGTAACGTCACACTGGTGGTAACGTCACACTGGTGGTAACGTCACACTGGTGGTAACATCACACTAGTGGTAACATCACACTGGTGGTAACGTCACACTGGTGGTAACGTCACACTGTTGGTAACGTCACACTGGTGGTAACGTCACACTGTTGGTAACGTCACACTGGTGGTAACGTCACACTGGTGGTAACGTCACACTGGTGGTAACGTCACACTGGTGGTAACATCACACTGGTGGTAACATCACACTGGTGGTAACATCACACTGGTGGTAACATCACACTGTTGGTAACGTCACACTGTTGGTAACGTCACACTGGTGGTAACGTCACACTGGTGGTATCGTCACACTGGTGGTATCGTCACACTGGTGGTATCGTCACACTGGTGGTAACGTCACACTGGTGGTAACGTCGCACTGGTGGTAACATCACACTGGTGGTAACATCACACTGGTGGTAACGTCACACTGGTGGTAACATCACACTGGTGGTAACGTCACACTGGTGGTAACGTCGCACTGGTGGTAACATCACACTGGTGGTAACGTCACACTGGTGGTAACGTCACACTGGTGGTAACGTCACACTGGTGGTAACGTCGCACTGGTGGTAACGTCACACTGGTGGTAACATCACACTGGTGGTAACGTCACACTGGTGGTAACGTCACACTGGTGGTAACGTCACACTGGTGGTAACGTCGCACTGGTGGTAACATCACACTGGTGGTAACGTCACACTGTTGGTAACATCACACTGGTGGTAACGTCACACTGGTGGTAACATCACACTGGTGGTAACGTCACACTGGTGGTAACGTCACATTACTAACAATCACTTCAACTTTACATTGAAAAGGAAAATCCAGCTTTATATTTCATTATTGTTTTTGGCTACATTTAGCTTTAGTAAGAGACCAAAATTTCGCATTATTCTGGCCACTGCAGAAACCGTAATTTTTCACATTCTGATGAAATATTATTTCTGTTATTTACAGATCTAACTGATAATATATTTAATTTTTTTTTTTGCTTCCAATCAAAACAAATACATCTGGTTATACATGAGAGGTCTTTTTCAGAACCAAATTTTGAGGCAACAGATGGTTTCCATATAATAATATGATTTACATAACCTAGTCTTGCTAGCTGTGTTATAAGCACATCACTCTTACTAAACACGCGGGAATTTCTTGACAATATCCTTATCGTCTTTTGAAGTCCAGGAGTGACATTTTTACCCCTGCGAGGATCCTACTGTGTGTGATGGAATATGACTAGGAAATATAGCTAGCATTTGTTCCCACAATGTAACCATCGTATATAATACATTAGCTGCACAGTGTCGGTGCAGTAAGCTCACTCCCTGCTCCATCAGATTTATCATACCTCTTCTTAAAACTAGGCATCCTCCACTATTTCACTTTCCAGAATATTACACTTCCTCACAACTCAATGACTGATGA